AGGCTGGAASCTGTCTAGTTATAATAAGTGACTTGTTCATAACCGGAACAAATACAACATCACAGCTATCAAGCTTCATGTACAATACATATGTCCTAGGAAAATGTTCTATTTTATCCTATTTGGAGAATTTCTGACTGTCATTAAGACAATTTTTCTTGGTTTTGATTCCAGAACATGCATCTTGCACATATACAATTCACTTGTATTAGCTTAAAAAGCAGATTTCATTGGGGTGGAATTTTAGAAGTATAGARGTAAAGCACAACTCTTTACAGAATTACTTCTCGTCCCACCAAACCTAGAAGATATGTATCTAGTCTGGGTTTCATATATTTTGAGACAAAGATTRATAGACTTCCAAATCAGAGAAACATTGGTTTCACCCTTAGAAAACCTATTTTGTAAGAAGCACCCAGAATAACTCCATGCTCTTATCTTCCCAACATCTCCCCCACAGCACTTCAGTCTCCTATAAGGAACCAACAAAACCAGTGTTTCAAAGTCTTCTGAAGGCCACCCCTTTCCAGCCAACCCAACCAAGTGAGCAGTGATGAGTAGTCCTAAAAACAGAAGTTGGATGTCAGAGCTGAGAGAACTCTCAGTTTCCTGGTTTCTACCAAAAGCTTTTCTGTGAGCACCATTTAATAGCTGTTTGCAGTATCAAACTTTAGCTTGAGCAATATATTTGAGCAATTCAAAAGCAATGGGCAAAGGACTATGCATGAATATATAGCAATGGGCAAAGGACTATGCATGAATATATAGCAATGGGCAAAGGACTATGCATGAATTCGAAACTATGTGTAATAGTACTGAGTGAGAAGCTTCCTGAATTAAATCAGTATTTCCAGGACATCCTTTTGATCAGAGCACTATTCACCAGCAGTAGCAGCCATACACTGACACAGTCCCTTCTTTACTCATCCCTCCAGAAAAGCAAGTGGCTCAAAGTTCAGRATGAATTGAAGGGGATGTTGCTACTTACTGCTTCCAGTGAGTTGAATCTCAGGAATTCAAACACAGTGCAAACACACCAAAACCCATCTTCACTTTAATCATGGCAGAACATCATGGTTTGGCAAGACTCAATGACATGCCCAGGATGCCACACTCTTAGGAGCAGGGAATACTATGGCGGAGTGACAGCTAATAAACTGAATTTTCAAGACATTGGTAAGAAGCGAAGTGCTGAAAATCTTTCATACAAAAAAGCAAATGTACAAAACTAACTAATGGACTTCACTGATTTAGCACCCACAAGTTCTAAATTGAGCTCTACCATTTATTCACCATCCCGTTTTCTTCTGTCCTCTCTCCAAATTAAATTCACATGAGGGAAACAGGTCCAGAAATTTGATGCAACTTACCCAAGACAGCCCAGACAGTACTCAGTGCCCTGCAGGGCAAGATACAGTTTTTAATGCAAGTCACATATTTTTTAATTAATATTCATGAACTGACTACTAATAAAAATCCTAAGTATTTGTAACTTGTGATAGCTGCTACTAAAGGAAGCAGGTGTTCCAATTGCAGTTTCTTTTCAAATATAATCAAGCCTTACAAAACCTGATGAAACACAAGGACTTCAATAARCTGAAACAAAAAAAGTATTAAATATATGTTCCTACATGCCCTCTCAGCGTATCACAGTGTCTTTCATGCTTTAACTCCTGGTGCCAGTTGGACTGCAGGTTTCAGTAGAAACTTGTACACAGCTGGCTACTTTGAACTTCTGCCTTCAGTTACAATCCGTAAGTATTTGGTCTCTGAATAAATTGCAGTGTTAATAATTGAGAAACTGATTTCTGAATTAAACGCCATTATTCCTAACCTTTAGCAGCTATCGGAGGCATCAGTTTTATGAATATGTACATTAAAACCCACACAAATACAAAATAATCTTAATAATAGTATTTTACTCTTTTACTATGCCTTTGGTTTTTTGAATGAAACCTAAAGGATGGTGGAATTGGGATAAATGGTAAGCAATGTTTGTCAAACACCATTTCAATATTTCATATGGAAGCAAAAGCTGGTTTCAGAATTAATATGTGATTGTTAACAGTGAAMGGGTGTGAAACTTTAAATGGTCATTTAGAACCATAAAGCTAATTAATCAATCTGTTACAAAGCAGGAATAGTTTACTCTAGGTTTTGTAATACCACTGAGATGGGATTCCTTGCTGACAGACCATATTAACAATAYAAATTTCAGCAAGACTTTGAACGATTGCTGGAGACAGTTTCAGTAACTTCAATCTAAAGATGCTTTTAGCACCCACRCTCCCTAGATGAACATGGGTTTTTACACCATTCAAAAAGCAGCTTTTAATCCAAGATGTCTTCAAAGTCAAAAGCCAATGCATGTAATCATCCATATAAAATGAATCCATATCCTGTCACAATCTGCCTTGGAGGTATCCATTTGTCTCTACAATTGTTAAATGTTTGTAGGACAGCCAAAGGTCTTGATGGACCAGAGTTTTAAACTTTCTGAGTTATAAAGTTGTTATAAGGTGAAATGACCTCAGGTTTTCCCTCCAGCTAACTCTTCGTTGCATCAATACATGGCATGTTTGGAGTCAGACTCTCAGACAAAAACAGGGTTTAACACCTGCGGCCAAATTACAAAYGGTGTCCTTCACTTTCCAAGTTTTGTCTTCAGAAGATGGGGCATTTTGCAGCCCTTATGCACATACTTGATACCATAGCCTGACACCAAGAACAGAACTCTCAGTCTTCAAGGGATCRAACAGTATTGGCACACTTCTTGTCCTGGTAATTCACAGCTTGTTTTGCAGACCTCTGCAGCCACTGATAGAAAATGAACTGTGAACTTACAGATGATGCTCAACATTGCAGTCAAACTTTTATAGCCAACCTGCCTTTTATTTGAAAACTAATTTGAAATGTGATTGTTTTTCATGCAATTGTTTCTTAAAGTACAGTAGCAATTAATTTGCTTTAAATTGCCTACAAAATTGCCTAACATGGTACATAAGTGAGACCCAGCTGCAACTGATAGGCCAGACTGATTTACTTCCACAAGTTATCCACTCACAACCCTGCCAAAATATTTCTCCTTTGTAATTTAGAGGACCTCTGAGGTTACAATAAAAACTGGCTTTTCCTCCTAGCAGTTCTACCAGTGTCTAGAAGGATTRATGAACTTTTGAGCTGACCGTGCATTTCAGTTTAAGGGCACAGAGGAAGGCCTTGTTACTCATGGATATCAAGGAGGGAATAGTATGAATGAGGAGCCATCTTTCTGCTTTCATCTCCCTGTCACTTTTGATGTCCTCACACAAGAGCCCACTGGGAAGGTGACACAGGGTGGGGAGATATGTAAAACTCACATGAGGCTAGAATTTCCTTCCTCAGCGCRACCTCTACAACACAAAATAGTAATAAGCCAGAACTATCAAACTGTCTATGAAGTGACCGTGCACAAGTCTTCACATCACTTGCACTAGAATGGTGGCAAACACATGCATGTGGCAAAAATCTGCAGTGTGTTTAGTACATGTTTAGCATTATGGATCTCCTCCTACTCTTCTCTTCTCCTGTTCACCTGTTCCTCCCGGAATTCGTATTACTCTGTGTCTTTTCCATCCTTTTCCATGCACACACTACTTATGTCCCCTTCCCTCTTCCGCAAACCCTTTTATCCCTGCACTTTCATTCTATACCAACCCCTTCCCCCCTTTTCTCTATTTTGCAAATCTGGCTTCTTTAAATCTGTGATACTTCACAAATTGTCTCATTTTATTCTTCCCACTATGCCCAAGGGTAACCTCCTCTTTCCAATAAAATCTTTCCTTTTTCCTACCTACACACAGAAGGATTGCTTGCCCTTTTACCATGCACAATCCCTGAAGGCTGCTTAGGAGAGGAGGACAAGGACCACTCTTCTCTTTCCAGAACAGACAGTTTCTTGGTACATCACCCTCTCCTGAGAAAAGCTTCTCAAGAGGCATTCCTCTGGCAGGGTCACAAAGCAGGCTGACAATAGCTTTCCTCAGCTGCACGGGAAATGCTTTGATGGTAATTGACTCTCTTCCCCAGGCAGAGTATCAAAGTGCAAATCAAGGCTTCCCCTGGAATTTGGAGTTGGTTGCCCAGGCTAGAACAATAGCAGCGCTGCTAGACAGCCCTGGTAATGGTTTCTATTTTAACTTCTGCCTTTATTTTTCAGAACTGCCTGTCACTTGGCATTACTACCATGCTTGCTGACTAGCAGTATGTTTGTTTTCTGGTATTCCGTGTTTTTGTGCAGCTGTATTCCACTATGGATTCCTGTAATACCTTCACTGCAAGCTGTGTGGGGCAGATGATTCCTGCAGTATTTGCACAGCCCAGCACAGTGGGGGCCCAGGCCTCTTCAGTGCTCTGTTAATACACAGCATTAAAACCTTAGGTCACAGACAGGGAGGACAGTGTCGGCAGGAAACGAGACCACCCTTTGCTTCCCTGTTGCCTGCTCACTGCCTTGCATCAGTCAGAGCAAAAAAAAAGCAAAACGGGCAGGATGTGTGCAAGGAAGGAGCTGAAACAGTGCCCAAGTGAATGGAAAGTATCCAGATGGCTGTGGCAACTCACACGATGGGAGTCAAATCAAAACAAAATGAAAACAAAACCATATGCGCCATGTACCCTTCACTCTCTTGCTCTCTTTCTCTCCCTGCCTCTCYCTGGCTGCTGCCCCAGGTCTTTCTATCAGTATGGATAATAGTATGTTACTCATTTAAGTGTATGTCATGAATAACAATAACGTCTCTTTCACATTAGAGATCACGGATTAATATTATTCATGTAACAAAGAATGTAATATGAACCACAAAATTATACTCATGTAAGGGTGAAGGAAGTGCAAGGGTCTACAAGGGAAGTTATATCTCTTTATTAAATCCTTTTTACCTGGTATGCTGTATACTTATAAAAGAGAATATTAATTTTATACGTCTATGTTGCTATATGCTATAGAAATATCTACTCACAACCTGCTTGTATCTCAGGGGGAGTATTCAAAAGCATCATGGCAGTGGCAGCATCAATGTCAGGATCTGGAAAAATCAACCAATAAATACATTATTTACAACTGGGCTAATCTTCTTACCCCCGTTGCTAAACTATAGGTTCGACCACGTCTCTGAGTAAAAAGGGATGAGAGTTTATTATCCAGAGGGCCTGTTGATGACACGCTGACTCCCAAATTTGCACGTGATCCCACTGTCACTATTAAACAGCACACAGTGATCTATGCCACTGAGCCATACTTGTGCTTGCGTGTGCATGATACCTTTGCTGTTAGCCTCACCAACTCCCTATTTAATTCTGGGGAGAGTATTTAGATTTCATTACAAAGGATCTGTGAAAGCAGAAGCAACATCACAATTTGGAAGCAAGAGAGAGGGATGAGCTGACAGCTGAGGAGTGGGAAAGCATAACGAACACCTACACCTGAGCAAGTAGAGAAGATGACACTTGATCATTTTTATTTGTCAAGAAAGATTTCAGCAAAGTTTGAGAAAGTGTTGGAAGACAAACTGCTGCAATGAAGAAAAAAAAAAAAGAAACTAGCATTTCATTGAAGCATCAACTTATTTGCATCCTTGTCCATTGTCACTTCAATATAAGCAAAAATGATCAGCTGGCTGCTGTTATTCTTAAATTGGTTTCTGAATCCATCATGAACAGTCAGCTGACAGATGGTAAGTTATAGAGACAGAACAAAATATGATCCTTTTATAACTATATTCRCTTGCTTCACACACAACAGCTCGGCTGCTATGGAAATGCAGGTAGCTATGACAACAGTAAACAACCCCACAACGGCCACTGAATAAGCTGAAAAGAACATCTGCCCCAGCAAAGCGTCCCAGCTGCCCTGGGGCGCAACTTGCTAATCGTGCAGTGATGTCGTGTGACAGAGAAAGCCGCCTATGCCATGTCCAAATAAATGAAGTGTGCAATTGAAGCAGACATAAAAACGCACACCCTGGCCGACTGCTGCCTCTGTGCTGCTAAACTGAATGACTAATGAGTATGCATTTGTTGTTTGGGGTTGGGGTTTTTTTCAGCTTGTCGGTATTTACACCAAATTACATACAAAAAAACCCAAAAAACTAGTACTAATAGCTTTATGGCACCTTATTTTGGYTATTATGACAGAAAATTACTTATCACTGTTAAAAATATGTATGTGTTTTTGATCTTTATTTAGTTCAGATCTATTCCCAGTAATGTGATGTGGTAAAAAGCTCTGTAATTTATTAACAATACAAATGACGTAGACAGGATTACAAAATCTGCTTAAGCCAAACAGAAATTCACTTGACTGGTAAATTAAAAAAAAAAAAAAAGGGCCCTCCTATTAGTCTAAGTATGTACTACTTTCCTGCGAATAGCTGCAAACACTCTACTAAAAGCTACTGCTATTGTTATTTAATTGCTGAAACAGTACACAGAGAAACAATGTAGTGGATGTCAAACTGAAGCTGAAGCAGAAGCAGACCTACTGTAAAAGGTGCCTGTGTACCCTGGACAGGTCAACATTTTCCAAAGAAAAAGCAGCATTACCATCTTATGTTCATCTTCAAGTCCGAAGATACCTCAAAAGCAACATTTCTGCTGCAATTATCTATGCTGAAAGTGCCATTTCCAGACAGCTTCATTCCCAGATACGTGCCACGTTGCAAGACTGGATCCACATCAAGTGTGTGGTGTCAAACTAAAGAGGCATAATCTATTTAATGTTAAAAAGCAAGACAAAAGAGCAAAGAAGCCAGAGAAATAAAGAGAAACCAAACCAGAATTCTTCCATCTTTTTCACACATAAACCCAGAAGATTGTCAGAAGTTGAATTTAGTGTATCATAATTCATACAGCCAACTTCAGCAATTGTTTATTGGCTGTTCCTAAATTTTGGTTTGTTTTCGTTGAAATATGGTTCCTTCCACTGGGTGACATTATAGCATAATACTAATTTTGCTACTGAAAGAATAAAAGGACACTACTGGGAAAAAAGCATTTCCCAATGACTTTGGGTTCTGTGTAACAAACTCTGTGATTTGAGATAAAATTGATGCAACCAGTTTCTGTTGACAGGTGCATTCTTAGCCTTTGGACCATTACCAGCACCACTGTATTCCTGCAATGACRTAGGACATGAACACGAGCTGCTCACAACACAGGGCTGCATCTGCAGCAGCTGTSTCCCGAAGCACAGCCATGTGTCAAGGCCATCCATGCCTGCTACGGCGCCGGGTTCACTGGGATGCTCTTGAAGAAACCAGTTATTCCATAATGCCTTGGCAGGGGCAAGAGAGCCTAGAGGCATGCATGAAGGGTGGTGTCAGTAGCATCCAGGACAATATGCTTTGGGTTGTCCTACGGCAAGCAAAAAAGAAAGAGGGACTGGTGCACAAGTGAGACAAGGTCTGAGCTGTGGGCCAGCTGAGACTACACAAAGAGGAGCAGAAGTAATGTCTGTGGGAAAATTGAAAAGCTGGCACATTCTTTTGCACCATTTATATTCACAGTTTGGAGGTGTTCTCCTGAGCAGCATGTCAAGAGAAAGAGCTGAGGAGTAGCCATGAGGAGCCGCAGCAAAAGTGTGTGACTGAAGGGCACCAGTGCTGGCACTGGCACTTCTGGCTTTGGCTGCTGGTCTCCACCAATGCCCCAGTCTGGTGGCCCTTTGCCCACAACTGCCACCCTTCTGAAGGCTCTTCCATGTGGGTTCTCTCATTTGTAGCAGTAAGGGCTGACCTTGCTTACTGCTGCATTCCCACCAGCTGGTAACTGGATCCTCTCCCTTCTGCCTGGCCTGTGTTCGTGAAGCTGTGGATTTCAGAACTGAGATCTCTGCCCTACCTGAAGTCTCTGATCAACACAAAGGCTCCTGAAGGAGAGTGGCAGTGGGTGGTTAGTGAAACATAATTGCAGGAACATCTTTCCCTAGGAAACCAGGGTAAAAATAACTACATACAAAGTTTTGGAATATAGAAAATTAAGTATTTAAATGAATGCATTCTGGTTTCTTTTTTTTGCTAATTCAAGTAAATGGTGAACTGACTGCAAACATGAACTGTTAATTTTTTGCCAGTAGAAAGTACAAGATGTCCAGCCTTCCCTGTGGAAGAGGGAAGTAAGGAATAATGAAGAAAGGGAAGGATTTGTGGGTGTTGTACAGAGAAGTAAGAGTATGTCAAGGTCTCAAACAGGCAACACTGGAGAGTGACAAGAAAATAATGGCAAAAATTGCCAGTAGCCACAATTCTTCCTAACAAACAACTGCAATTATCTATACACTTGGTTCTTCATGCTACAGTCTGAARTTTCAGTGCATGGTCCCTCATGTATCAAGGGTCCATCACAAGGTACCAGGAAGGACCTGAAGAAACCTTAAGCACTTACATGAACCTGTAAGGCATGAAAGCCACAAAGGAACCKGAATTCTATTACAGCTGCAGTACCTCCCCTTGCAGGGTGAGCCTGCTGGTGTTTTTGCCAGCATTGGCTTCAAAGACAAAACTTSTTGTCATGAAGATGATACCAGCAATGGCCCACACCTCACAGCAGTTCTGTTTGCTGCATTTTGGATTCACCCCCCTTGTCASCAGAGTGTTCAACAGTGAACACCAAACATGTAAACAGCATCTAGTTCTTTCTCTGAAAAATTAACCTACAATTTATTACCCTATGGAATTATATCTATGCATGTAATAGCAAACCAAGAATGTGCTTTGAGCCAAACTTCACTTTTAATGTTACCTGTATAGGTCAGAATCTGTCTCACACAGACACATCAAGTGGTGAAATGGTAGGCATGAAATATTTAGCATGAAATTACATACAAGCAACGCAGAGCATATCCTTCGGAAGTAGACTCTTTTTTCTAGAATTTGCAAAATATTATGAGAATCAAGAGAGAAAGTTATTCATAAGAATTCATATTATTTTGATATTATTTCAAACTTTGATCTGGTTTCCAACTCTTGAAATCCATCCTCTTCCAATTAAATCAAAAATAAGGTAACATAGTGCCCTCTTGGTTTTCCTAGAGGGTATTTATCTTTACAGCCATACTATAAGGCTTTAAAGAAAACAGCATTTAAAACAGTTCAAAACAACCATGGCCTGAATTTTCCAGCACAGATGCCTTGAGAGAGGCACTTAACATGCATATTTAGGTATTAATAAAACGTTACTGCCAACTGACGTAAAAAATGTAGTTAGTAAATAAACTGCACCATCTGTACACTACAACCGTAGCTATGTTATCAGGAAGGAATTTATAAGATCTACTTTTAATCTAAAGCTTCTACATCTAAAATAGAACTATATTTGTAAAGTATTTCACTTCACCTTCAGTATTGCTAGTTCTTGGCCCATTCTACCTCTGCCTCAGCACCCACTGCTTTTTCCCATTTATATGTTCCTACTGTAGATGGAAAGCCTAAAACCTACCACCACTGCACTCAAAAGGCAGAAGCTCAGAATATTCCCTGCCTACAAGATCAGTCTTGTAACTCCCTCCCTGCCTTTTTCTAGCACAGCCCATTCCTGCACTTTATTTGGTGATTTGATTCTTCAGTATTTTCAATTTTCATCAGCAGAAAAGTGATGCAAAAGCAACAAACTATCTTCCACCTTTTACCTTCAGGCTTATTAAACTGCAACAGAGCAAATAGCAGCTTGCCCCCATTTAACTTGCCTGTTAACAGACGTATCTTTTCCCTTCCCACATCAGGATGGTTAACCT